ACTGATGATCGTCCACTTGAACGCCTCGACCTTGCTTCCAGTAGCATAATAGACAGGAGCAGCGACTGCCACACCCTCGGGAAAGTTGTGAAGAATGATACCAACCGAAAGAACAATTCCCGTACGAAGACCGGCGAGTGAGGATACAAACAGCGCCAAACCTTCCGGGAAATTGTGAATAGCGATGGCAATACCTGTGAGAACACCAGTACGACGGTACTCCTCCTTCACCTTCATTTCCTCAAGAAGCGCATTGTTCTCTTCTCCAGCAGGACTAGCCAGCTCCTGACGAGCTGCGTCAACCGGTGTACCCGGTACTGGAGATGCAATGTGCACAACACTCGCCTTCTCGGTAACGTCGTCCGTCTTCAAAGCTTTCTCGCCATCCGCCTCTAAGTCTGCGTTGGCAGCAGCCCTGGCGGCAGCTCTGTCCTTACGCTCGAACACAGAGTGCACCAGCCACTCCACAAACAGGATGATGGCCACTCCGACAAAGAATACACCAGTAGCGGCCAAATACGTGTTGCCGTTGCATGTGTCGTCGCACACTCCAGCGGTAGTGGAAGCACCACCGTGCTCGTAAGCTTCGGGGTCCGTTGTACCAGGAGTGAACGCAGCACGGTAGTAAATCAATGCCTCGGCGTACAGGTCAGCGAAAGCAATGAAGATCATGACACCGGCCGACAAAGCGAAGGCAATCGAGAGCGAACGCGGGTCGGCGAGGAATTTCAAGCGTTCCACTGAGATGACGAGCACGGACAGCGTCGTAGCAATGCCACCAAGAACACTCATACCCATTGCCGTAGCAATCACAGTGAAGGTGATCTCGGTGCCCGGCGTGATACCATTGTCGTCGGCATAGCCGTCGTCCACGTCCATGATCTTAAACCAGCTCATCATCGCGTTTTCTTCGTGCTCTAAAATGTGACAGTGAGCAACGTACGGCTCGGTCGTGTCAAATCCGTAGTCCTTGGCGCCGCGAGTGCTATTGGCTATGAGGTACTCGTCGGGAGTGCAAGCCACGTAGCAGACCTGGGTGATAGTATCCGAGGGGCGGTCACCGGCATTCGGGATCTTGGCTACATCTTTCAGGTGGTTCGTATCGATGGTTTCTTCTGTTTCGCCACATTGCGCGTTGACCAAGTGCCAGTGGAATGGGTGCGGGTCATCGGTCGGATTCTGGAAGTTCCACTTCTCCACCGTGCCCTTGGTACAGTGAAGGCTGCCGGTGATAGTCGTCATGTTGATTTGCTGCGAGCGGTACATGATCATGTCGTACAGGGGACACTGCATCGCGGTATCCATTTCTCCGAGGATGACGGTACGTTCCTTTCCGCCGGCTTCGTAGAGCTCCTTCAGCGACTTGTACTTCACAAGCGTAGATGGGAGCGCGCGGTACTTCATAGTATCCGTCTTGAGACTCTCGACGACGCGGATGCGCATGATACGTTCGTCGTAATCTGTAGGCTGGTCAGCCGTCTGGTTATCCTCGAGGTCGTACGTGGTGCCATTGGTGGAGTTAGTGAAGTCACAGACGAACTCGATGCGCTCGAAAGGGAAGAGAACGAGGTAGTTTTCAAACGACTCGGGTTTGTTAGCGAAACCCGAGTCGGACGCAACGATCTGGCACTTGTCCTGGAACGGCACGGAGATGTTGTAGTGGCGAGCGTTGGCAACGTTGATCAGGCGGAAGCGGACCTGAGCAGGCGGCACGTCGACGTACGGCATGATCACGCCGTTCACAAGGTTAACAGAGCCGAAGGACTCGGGCACCCACTTCGTCGACCCAGCATTGCAGTTGTCGTCCGAGTACAAGAGCTCGCCCGTCGTGTTGATTAAACGGTCAGTCAGCACCAAAGGAATATCTGTCTCGATGTCCATGTTGATCGACGCCTCAAGCTCATTGTCGGCAATGATGTACGCACCCATGAGACCAGCCCACGTGTTGAGGCGTGTGAGACCATTGGAGTGATCGTGATAGAGTTTGGTGGACGCAGACTGGTTGTTGTAGTAGTGGAATACCTGTGACTGGTTCTTGTAGATGGACCGGTACGGTAGCCCGTCATATTCTGGTGGTGACTCTAGTCCGTGCACGTGTGTGACAACGGGCACACCACAGTACGGGTAGCATGCAGACTCAATGTTGTTGAGAGAATCCTCGACAAAGTTCTGGAACAGGTGCGGCTGTGATAGCTCGTTGTACCAGGTAATGGTGATCGGTACACCCTTAGCGACCTTGATTGTCGGGCCGGGCATGGTAGGAGTCGAATTCCTAAGCGAGTAGCCATAGATCTCACCCGAGATGGAGCCGTCCCCCGTCCAGTTGTGCGTGGCACGGCCGATCTGCATGTCGATGGCGCCTCCACCGGTCAGATCGATGACTTCCGGAAT